CGAAAATTATGTAGCGAATTACCTTCGGGTTGTGTGCAGTAACGTACATGTAGGGCCTTGTGAAGTGCCCGTTCTTTTTATCCGATTTTAACCGAAAGTGGAATTTGTCGATAAAATTTAGCAGAAGTCCTGAATATGAAATGAATATAAAATTCTCTTTAACGGTTCGCGAGCTGCTACATACTGCCAAGACATATGTGCAGACACGGGAAAAAATTAAAGGGCGCGTTCATTTTTTTAAATTTTGTTACTGGCGGACGCCGGGCTTCTAGACGCTGAGGTGTTTGCTGAAATCAAGCAAGACAAGAACTGTGCCACGCGGCTAGCAAAACTGTTCTTTAGAAATACACATCACTTGCAGCAGGTGGTTATGTGTTCGTTTACGATTTACTTGCGACGATGTCAAGAGCTGAGATCATACAGCGTTACATATGAGGACGCCAGAGTTGCTATATTTAATTTATTATTCTTCGATATGCAGCTCTGAGCGTAGCATCCCGCAAATACACGGCGCTAACTCAGGTGAACCCTTCGCCATTAGTACTAAAATCGTTAGGAAAAAGTTAGCAGCGATAGGTAAAAACAAATCAGTAGGGCCAGACAGCGTTTCTGGCGAAATTCTAAAACTGGGTAGGGAAGCCATGATTCCAGACCTGGCGCGATTACTGGACATAGATAATGCCACACTATCCCAAGTGACTGGCAAAAGGCCATAGTGGTTTCTGTTTACAAGGGAGGTGACCGATCGCTGGTCTCAAATTACAGACCTGTCAGTTTAACCTCAGTGGTCTGCAAGCAAATGGAACACGTCATTACATCGTACCTGAGGAAAATCTGGGCTGAAATTGATTGGTTATTCTAGGGTCAATATGGATTCAGGCCAGAATATTCATATGAAGGTCCAGTAACCTTTAAGTGCCGAAGTGCCCAGTTTGTGCCAGTCATGAGTAAGGTCGTCGTGGCCAAAGTACCCCGTTTTGTCCAGTCAGGCATTTAAACTCCGCTAGTGGAAGCGCATGCACAGTCCTACATATTTATTTTCAAATGTAGTAATTACCAGACAGACTTGAGTAAAACCCTAATAGAGGAATTAAATTAATACCTAACTGAACAACAGCAAATAAAAATATACGTATGAGTTATGCCAAAACTTATCCACGATCCAGTAATTTTATTGCAGATTCTGCAGATAGGTATGTTAAAAATATACTGTAAAATTCGATGTACATACCTTTTTTGTTGTTACCTGCTTGATGTATATATAGGCTGAAATTAAACTACAGTATTCGAGTTCACTACGAACGCACACAAAACAGATCGCACTCTGTATCTTAGCCACGATGCAGCTGTCTGCTCATTCAAATAGAAGGGGCAATAAAATTTTGCAGCTCTAACGGAAGGTCTTAGCACTGAAGAAGGGACCCCTCTAGCTTTCTCTTGAATAGCCATTCTTTCATTCTTCTGACCTTCAGTCAAAGATTCGAAAATCCGAAGGGTGTAAGCAGTGCTAGCAGAAGACCAAATGATTTTATTGCTTCCATCTGTTTTATGACACCAGGGACTGCTAAAATTTGTCAAGTGTTACAAACAGAAATGAGTTTATAATGCAGAACAACTCTGTGAAGAACTGGGAAACAATTTTTGCAGTACGCATCAAAATTACAACACAAAAAATTGAAAATAGAGTATAACACTTTGTATTAAAAATTTCAAATCTTCCGTTATAATATGCGGCACTATGTTCTTTGCTGATATAAACAAAGTTAATACCATCCATTTATCATAAAAATTGTGCTAGATACAGCATTTTTAAACACAACGCTTAAAATTGATTAACCGCCTAAAAGGAACGGACATTTAAACGCAAGGGAGCAGCGGGCATTTAAATAAACTCCGGCCAGCTCAAGTTTACCACTATTTCGAAGTCCGGCGTTTAAAGGGTAATCACGGTTTTCCAGGGCATTGCAGACTCCCAGGATAACTGAGGTAGAATAGACGCTATTGTAATGGACTTTCGAAGGCTTTCGACTTAGTTCTCCATGATCGGCTGCTTATGGATAAGGAAATTCCTCTTGGGCCATATGCAGAGAGTTAGAGTAAAAGTAAAAAGTAAAGCTATTCCTGTATCAGGCCGTGAAAGCCCATAGGGTTGTGAGACGTTGAGGGTCCCACATTATCTAGACAGTCGGCTCAAAGATGGCGGTAAGGTTGTCAGCCTTACGCGCCGGCCACGCTTTACTCCCCAGGAAAATTATTTTATTAATTCCTGATACTCATTTCTGTTAGAGGCTGAGTCGACCTCAGGGCCATAGTGCGGCTGGAAGGATTAGGTCAATTGAAAAAGAATCCAATTACCTCATCGGGACTTGAACCGGCGTAGAGTAGGTGGGCAATTATCGGAGGAAGTCAGAGTAAAGGCAGGAGTACCGCAAGGAAGTGCACTGGGTCCTCTACTATTCCTTGCGTGTGTAAATGATAGAGACATATTGAGTCAACTATTCGAGTTCTCGCAGATGACTGTATAATACGTATATAGGAAAATTATAACTAATGCAAATATGGAAAAGCTGCAGATAGATCTGAACAGGCTGAAGGAGTTAGCGGTTGAAAATGCGATGATAGTTAATCCAGTTAAAAGCACGGCAGTTTGTTTCACGAGGGCCCGAGTGAGGGAACCACTAAATTATTCGTTACGGGACATAGTAATTCCGGAAGCGAGCAGTTGTAAATGCTTGGAAATAATTTTACGCAGCGATTTAATTTGGGCTGATCAAGTTAATTACACGATGCAAAAGCCTGGAAGGCACTTCATTTTACAATGCGTATTCTTAAAAAGGGAAATAGTAACACTAAAAGTTTAGCCTACATATCGTTAGTGCGTCAGATTCTTGCATATGGAGCGGCGTGCTGGGATCCTTACAGAAAGGGACAGATAAGCGGCCTCCGTAGTCTAGAGGTAACGTTCCCACCTCATGACTTGTGGTACGCGGGTTCAAATACCCGGCGGAGGTCGTCGAATTTTTAAGGGCGGAAAAATTCAGGGAACAAGTCCTCCGGGAGGGTCTTTAAGCTGTGTGTCCCGTGTCGTAACTTTACGGCACGTAGAAGAACCTCATATCCCCAAAGGGGATCACCGAGCCAAATTCCAGGACGTTTCCCGCCCAACAATAGCCTCTAAGGCCTCTAATAGATGGGGGGAGCATTATAGACACCGCTAAGCAAGTGGTCGAACTCGCTTGCTCGGCGGGACTGATGGTACACACCATTTATCGGTAGGGTAAAGAGACTGGTAGAATATCATAGAGGGAAGCACAATAGATCAAACTGGCCGCGGTGCAAGGGGAAACCCACCCTCTCTAAATAACTGACTAACTAACTAAGGGACAGATAAATGCGCTAGACCGGGTACAAACCATAGCGGCTAAATTTGCACATCGTACAAATGATTCGAACTGGGAAATCTTGACAGTGCAGAAATATAGCTCGCATATGTGCCCTCTTCAAAGCAGACACGGGACAACTGGCTTGGGAGGATATACGTGTTGGATTACAACGACCATGCTATCTGAGCAGGTTCGATCATGATAGGAAAAATAGGAATAGAAAGCAAAAGACAGATATCGGAAAAGATTCCATAGTGAAGTGATGTGAAGTGAAGTAAATTGTGGTGAGGATGTGAAGGGTACGTAAGTGTAGTGAAGTGGAAAGAAGGGAAGGCCATGCTGGAATGTGGGCGCATCAGAACATGACATTACCTATTCCATTACTGTTACTGTTTAGTGTATAGCATGCTTACTTTTTATTAATATTAATTTATGTAATTGTATTTGCTTTGTATTCATTGTGTGTAGTCTGTCCTTTATTTTTTTATTTTTAGTTTTTGTGTGCTGCGTTTTGTTTGAGTGTGGTGTATTATTTTGTGTGATGTGTCTTATTTGTGTGTTGTGTCTTATTGTAATATCACTGCCACCGGGTAAAAACTCATTTTCAATTTAAATAAAATAATAATAACTTGGCGTGCCGCCTAGAAGGCAGAATATCTTAGTCAGAGCGGGCGTCCATTGCTAGACAACGGCTCTGTAGTCACGTTCCTGCATCGTTGTCTGCGTGACAAACACGTTCACGCGACAACGCATACATAACAGACCGCTACCACGGAACTGAAAACCAGAACTAGTGCAGTTCCCGCGGCAACGAATACACTAGCTACCGGTGCACTGAAAACGCGAAACAAAGCCCTTGATCAAGGTGTCTCCTAGACCGTAAGACTGTAGAACATATCAGAACAGAACAGAGCAGAGCTGACAGCAGAATAGACCAGCAAAGCTAAGAACTAAGGAAGAAACAGCAAAGACACGTCAACAAGAAGAGCAATGGAAGAGAGAATAGCAGCGGAAGAGAGAATAGCAGTGGAAGAGAGAACAGCAGCGGAAGAGAGAATAGTACGGGAAGAGAGAACGGCAGTGGAAGAGAGAATAGCAGTGGAAGAGAGAATAGCAGGGGAAGAGAGAATAGCAGTGGAAAGAGAATAGCAGCGGAAAAGAGAATAGCAGTGGAAGAGAGAATAGCAGCGGAAGAGGGAACAGCAGCGGAAGAGAGAATAGCAGCGGAAGAGAGAATAGCAGCGGAAGAGAGAATAGCAGAGGAAGAGTGAATAGCAGCGGAAGAGAGAATAGTAAGGGAAGAGAGAATAGCAGTGGAAGAGAGAATAGCAGCGGAAGAGAGAATAGCAGTGGAAGAGAGAATAGCAGAGTGAAAATGAAATTCGAGAGACGACCGACGAGTCGGGTTGCATCATGTGCAGGACGTTATTTTTGAGTAACTGTAAGGGTGCGTGCACACCGAGCGCGCTTCGCATAGCGCTAAGCATAACCAGCCCATTGTTTGAGAGCCAGGTGTTCACATCACTCGCGCTCCGCTGTGCAGTACGCCTAGCATAAGGCTAAGCGAAGCG